TTTTTGAACTTTATACCCAGTGGGAGGAGGGGTTTGGAGGTTTACATAGAAAAATTTTTTTTCTTTGAGTTCTCAGAAAGTGATTTTTTTTTCTTTTAAGGCCAGACAGGAGTCTTTCAAGACTTTACCAAGGAAAAGGAAATAATATCTTTTGTACAACAAGCTTACAGACTGTCACACCTTTTGTGTGCAAACCTGTCATTTACAAGAAAGAGGAACCTACCAGGCACAATAACTGCTACAGACATCCTGCTGATACGACAAGAGGAGAAGCTTAATTATGGCAAGTGTCTTTTGGGTGGGGGTACCTGGTCTGCTTCAAGATGAGTGGTAGAGAGCTAGTAAGGAAACAATCTCAAACTAAAGTGCATCAGTATTACCTGAGCAGCTTGTTATATACCATAGACTGCTGGGTCCCACCTTGAGTGTCTGTAAGTTGAACGTGGAGGTCAAAAATTTGCATTTCTAACATATTCCCAGGACTTATACTGCTACACTTTGAGCGGTAGTTAACTTACTATCTTTTGTTTATTTTGACTCACAGTTTTCAGAGGTTTCAGTCAGTTGGTGAAGTTGCTTTTAGACCCATGAGTCAGTACATGAAGCAGACAGTATGTGTTGGAGCAAAGCTGCTCACCTCATGGCAGCCAGGATGGGGCTTGGGAAGGAAATAGGAAGGTCCTAAGGCCTCCCACCAAGCACCACCTCTTAAAGTTTCCACCACCTGCCAACAGCATCGCTCTGTGAACAAAACCTCCCAAACACATGGGCCTCTGGGGGACATTCTAGATCCAAACTATGGCACGTTGGAAATCATTGATTTAGATCAGGTTTTCTCAGCCTTGGCACTATTGACATTCTGGGTCAGATAATCATTTTGTGGAGCTGTCCTGTGCTTTACAGGATGTTTAGCAATATACCTGTCCTTAATCTATTAAAAATGTTTCTAGGAGTTACCAAATACCCCTTGTGGGTTAAAACTACCACAAGCTGGGAGCCACTGCTTTAGATAATTCAACACGTCAGGAGCAACTGTCTGAGTAGATTGAGACAGCCAAGAGGGTACTTGATCTAGAAAATGAAGATATGCATAAAATGATGGAAGAAAGCCCACAGGGTAGGTTTCCATACTTTTAGAAATTAAATGAGGAGTTTATAAGTGAAGGCTTAATTGTTAGCTTTTAATGAATTAACTCCAGAAAAATCAAGTTGGAACTAACCTCTACTATAATTCCAGGTTGCTTTTAGGTTTCTGCATCCTGGAAAAGCACTTAATAATTATCTCCAATTTTATGAATGTCACTTTGTCCTCTAAAATGTAGTCTTCCTGGATTGCTGCCTCACTTATGTTTAAGTGTCTTCAATTGACTTCCTTACCTTGAAGTCTGTGCCATTTGATAGACAAAGCAATGTTCTGCACCAGGTAGGAAAGTTTATTCCATGCTGAGAAAAAGGATTGTTTTTAAGAATAATAATTTTAAAAATATACTGGAACTCAGTGAATTTTTACAAATTTAAATCTTGAAACCACAGACATTCAGACCATTCAACTTTGAACGCTAACATTGATAAAGTCCCAAATCCCCCTCCATTTTTCATTATTTGTCACTCAAATTGTGGCCCAGGACCTGCAGCAGAGGCATCACCTGGGAACTGGTTAGAAACACAGAATCTCAGCCCCGCTCCCAACTCACTAAATCAAAAGCTGCCTTTTAACAAGATTCCAGGTGATTCCCATGCATTTTAAAGTTTGAAAAGCAGTGGTGAAGGTCTTGAAACCCACTAGGCTTAGGAACCTTCAAGGCCCCATATAGTTTTTTTAGAAGAGCAATTTTGCATTTACTTGTATGACTTTTTTAATATTTATTTTTTAGTTTTAGATGGACACAATATCTTTATTTTTTTTATTTTTATGTGGTGCTGAGGATGTAACCCAGTGCCTCATGCATGCTAGGCAAGCACTCTACCACTGAGCCACAATCCCGGCCCATACTTGTATGACTTTGATAAATGTCCACCTTCCTCTCTAGATTGGAACCCCACAGGGGAAGTCTGCCCACTGTGGGACCCCAGAGTCACACAGCCAGTGCTCAAAAATCTGTTAAGCAAATCAACACAGTGGACCCTATAAACTCATCCTAAGCTTCTTCCCCCCACCCCAATCTCAGAGGGGCTTCTGCAAAGGTTTACCTTCTTAATGAACATACTCTGAAAACCGGACCTTTCTCAGATCTCCAAGGGATGATTAGGAAAGATCCCTGAGACGAGAAAACATGCAGTTTTAAACTTTTTACTTGAATTATATATTTATGCAAGATTTGGGTCATCCAGCTATTATGAGTTCTCTGAGTATTGAGAAGAAAGAAGGGTTTGAATTTATTCTCTATAATTCTGCACAAGGACTTTTATTATTCCGTGATTTCATTAATGTTGTTTCTTTATAGTTTCTTTTTTCCATCAGGAAAGGTTGTTGGAATATGAGTAAAATGTTATAAATTAACAATCACTAGCAAAAAGGCTTTTCCTTTACAATGCATATATATAAATATATTAATTATAAATTACCCTGCCTTTCCATAAAAGAATTTGAAGCAAATGTTTACAATGAGATGGCAAGACATAATTAAAACAATTTGATAAGCCATGGGTTATAGTGATATTCTGCTCTCTTTCCCTGTGCATGCTGATGAAAATTGTCTCATATTTTATAAACCAGTAAGAACAATAATGTAGGTAATAATCATCCCTATTCTCCCAAGCAGTAAAGAGGGTTCTACTACAGATAGCTTTTGTGAAACACCAATGTACTATCTCAGTACTTTCTTCCCAGTGCCACCACCCCCCCCACTTCAAAAAAAAAAAAAAAACACCAAGAAACAGAAAACTAGTATTAAGTGTTTTTATTTACAAAGAATTGTATTACTTCACTGATTGAAAACCACTAACATTTTTCACTTTAGAAAACATTAAATAATAAGCAAGATGTTATACAGTACTTTGGATAACTTCTTCCATCATTTTAGTGCAATATATTATTGGCACCTACAAGTGAAATTTTCAATTATTTTCCCCTTTCATCTTCAACTGTGCAGTTATATGAACAAAAAGGAAATGAATCAAAAATGGATCTAAGACCACATTTCTGGCCCTTAATCAAAGGCTCAATGATTTATATTCCCCCTCCCCCTGTCTCTACAAGTTACATGATAAAAGAACTTCTCTTGGACCTACTGTTCAAAAACATTACCAGTTTGTGGGACTTGGGAGATTCCAATTGGTAAGAGAAAGGGAATCATAGTGAGCAGATGAAGGAAAGATCTAGAGGTGTTGTGCATGACCCTCTTCCAGGAGCTAAGTTAAGCTTCCATACACTAAGCAAAGAGAATGCACCAGGTAAAGATGTTTCCATCTGTGTTCCTTGGTAGGGTTTCTCTTTGAAAAAAAAAATCTGAAATATCACCTATTGAGCAAGTGAAAGGTTTATATCTTTACCAAAGGGGAAAAAAACCCTGAAACACTACCATATTAGGACAATACTGAGATATTAAAGTATCTATCCATCACAACCTCTTTGAAAAAATTATGTAGATTTTTAAAAAAATGGGTGTTTGTTTTAATACTGCATGGTTTGCCATAAAGGGAGAAACCTTTTAATGAACTCAGCATCATTCTCCCTTTGCTCCTCCCTGTTAGGAGGTCAAGAGGGAAATTCCTAAATTAGAGCCTAGTCCAAATTACTTAGTTCTAAAGATGTTCCTTATATACTAGTAATAGGATCAAATCATCTGGGGGATGCTGTAATCTGTTCCTTTACCTTGAGGTAAGCATATCTTAAATAGGTAGACTTTTATCTAGTTTTTTTAAAGAGAGAGATAGGAAGAGAAAGAGATTTTCACACTTTTTTTTTAAATGGAGAATTTTGATTTAACAACTGTCCCTGCCAGGAAACACTCCCTCACACTCTAGTCTAAGCCCATTTCCTCTGGTTCTATTCTTAGTGCACATGGAGAACAGCTGGTCACTATCCTCTTGGTGCCAACCCTTCATATACTTGAAAACCATCAATGGTTTGCCCCTCAGTCTTCTTTTCTCCAGGCTGAATAATCCCAGTTCCTTTAATTTTTCATCATAGATCTTTTTGTCCAACCCTTTAATCATCTTTGTGATTCCTGGCAAAAACAGTAGAAAATATTTTGATTACTTAATTAGAAACGAAGAAAAGTCTCAGGAGTAAGATACCCTTTAAAAGTTATGTATTTTTTAATATAAAGATAAAATATGCAGGGAGGAAATACAGTTGGGGTCCGTGGATGTTAGAATTCCAATCCTGTCTCTTCCTCTGGTGTGTGACTCCACACATGCAATACCTCAGTGCATAGGGCTTGCTTCCGATCTTAACCCGACGGCATGTGCAAGCTCTACCTGTGGGGATTTCGCATGACAAATCTGTTCCAGTGGAGCTTCCCCTATTCTTCCTCTTACCTTGCTTCCATCAGCAGGATCTTTCCTCTACAGCAACCAAACTTTTACAAAGCTTTTTACAGATTATAAGAGAGAGCCATGTTAAGATGGTAAAGCCATCAGTTTTAAATTATATCTTGAAACAGTGAGGTTTTTATATGTTCACTGCAGTTTCTTGTCTCCCTAAATAGTTTACTGTTCTTGTAGAGACTAAACTCAAGGCAATTTAAAAAAAAATTCATCCCTCCATTACCACAAACTGACACCTCTGCCAATTTTCCCTTGCTGCCAATGGATTGGTCATGGAACTGGATGACATTTTGCCATGTCTTTTTAGTTCAAGAGATCACAAGCTGCCTTTTACCTTGTAACTAGAGTCTGTAAATATTAGGAACACTTATATACTTAGTATCAATAGCACATTTACACAAAACACAGTACTACCAACGAGGGATTCCGTGCCCATTCTTTACATAATTGTCTTTAAAGTAAAAACACAGATAACAAGAATAAATGCAAATTGATGTGTTATACACCCTTCTTTTATAAAGTGAATGGCAGTGAAAGTCAGAGTTCAGGTGAGGCCAGAACTAACGTAAGTGAAGAGGATAAATCAATTTCACAAGCACACTGTACATCATACCTTAAGGAAAGTCAATACTACTCATGGTACAACACTGAACAGATAACAGAATGGCCATTTGCACAGATTTCTTTTGAAAACTTCCCCATAATTTGCTACAAGGAGCACTCTGTAATCAGGATGAAGGATGGTATAGGTCACACACACTGAAGGCCTTCCCAAACAAAACTTAGGATGGAAGGCAACACCCCAGAATGGCTTGGATGTGTCTACAGAGGCCCCTGTACTTCAAGGAGGGTGTCACTGTTCATTGGGATTGCACAAAGCAGGCCAGCAAGATGTGGGTCACAAACCAGACTTCCTCCTGACCCACTGACCCACTCTTCTCCTAGGCCTGATAAGAAGGAGAAGAGGAGAGAAGGTGAGGATTGGAAAAAGACGAGGGAGCAACCAACATAGGAGTTCATTGCTAGTTCTGGAGCTGTTAGCGTTGTTCAGAGCAGTGGCCTTTTCTCAAGCTCACATCATCCAATCCAATCTCCCCAGTGTGACCATGCCTTTTTTCACCTTTGAAGATGACCTAGGGAGAGAATGCACACACCAGTCAAGCCTCCTCTGCCCCTTTCCAATGCCCGCTCATTTAGCAAATTAAAGGCAAACCTTCCCCAAAACTAAACATGAAACTTAAGTGATAAGAGGAAAGACCAGGACATAGTTTCCAGAGTCCTCTGAGGTTTGTTTTTTTGGCAGAAACTTAAATCATCAGTAACCTGTTCATCAAATGTGTTACTCAGAACCAGTTACTCTTTAAAAGGCTGTTCTAAACTACAGACCAAGTCACTTTAGGAATGCTTGTAAAGTAGATGTGTTTGTCAAAGATTACCAAGGTTAAAAGCAAGAAGACGGAACATAAAGGTGCAGAAATTAAGAGCCAAAGATGTGAAAGATTGTGATCATGCAGCCCACCTCAGGGCTCTCTGTTTGATGAAATGGTTCCATTGTCCCCAAATGAAACAGAATCAAATACCACCCAGTATGCCAATGTTTTACCTATGGAAAAACCCCACACTTTCACTGCTCTTGGATTTAATCTTCTGTGGGCGTATCCCTGTTCCTTAAAAACAGGAGAAATCTTTCAATGCTATAATCTAAAATAATTTATTTTATTTTTTCATTTCTCCAAGTAATGTAAATATTAAGAAAAATTAAAAAAAAAAAAAACCCTAAGGTGAAACAGTGCACATACCCTGATAAGTCTGTATCAGTGGAGTCTAACTTTTCTTTTTAAAATAGTTTCTAGAAACTATGGACAAGCATAGTTGCAGTGTCTCATAGCAAGAGTCTTATAAGCATCAACACAAAGATGACATTGTTCAGAGTGCATTCATTATTTTGGGATGCTGTAGATAATTTTCTTGCTACCCATGATTTGACTATTTAAAATAAAATTTGTATGTTCAATCAAAGCTTTTTCTATATTCCATTCTAAACAGAATCGTTCTTTCCAACTGTGATCTTGGATTCCCACCTGAGACTGCTGAACTATGACCTTTAAGGCAAGGGAAAAACGTTGAACTTTAAAGAACATTTTAAAATAGAAGAAAGAAACATCTCCACAGTAATTCATGGAAGTAAAAGTTGAACATTTAAGGAATTGAAGGAAAAGGTAAGGCAGCACAATTCAGCACGCCACCAAACCCTTCAAAGTTTCTGTCAACTGTTTTTTTACTTTTCTATTCCTAATTTTTTTTTTCATTAAAAATTGTGAGCCTTTACCAGGGTGGGAAAGGTGGTGATGGTCAAAGGTTGTAACGAAGAAGGATGAAGAAGCAGAAAAGGAATCTCAGAAAGAGGAATGAATGGAATCATCAAGCCCAGAAAAAACCACAAACTTTTGTTTGAGCCTGAATTCACAGAGCAAGGCGTCTTCAAATTCAGACCCCAGAGTTCTCCTATGAAAGGAAAACTTCCCAGGCTCTGCCTCCCTTGGGATCTACTTACGCTCTTGACGTCAGCCCCTCGCAAGGTGATCTGTGTTTGCCTCCAGCCATGGCCACCATTTCTTCCCCACAGGGCTGCTCCGTGGGCACCGTGTTTTCTCACAAACACCTGGAGTGTGCCTGAGTGCAGCCCAGTCACCTTGTGCCTGAATGACAGACACAGGTCCCCTGAATGCATGAGGTGGCCGAGAGGTAGCACCAAGCGAGCGGCTTTTCCCCCTGAGGCTTTGGCTGCCGATACTGTCAGATATTGTCCACCTGGAATGGGAAAAGCAGGGCCATGTGTGTGTGTGCCGGTATCCCTTTCCAGCACAAACAGCACGGGCAGGAGTTTCTGTTTTCATAAACTTCAGACTGCGACAGTCATTAGTAAAGAATTCCAGATTATTTTGAAGGAGCAAAATTTGACTTATTCCTATGTCTATACTGTTTACAAAAATATAATCCCTTGCTCTGCTCATAATAGAAGTTATGCCAAAAACACAATAATTAGAAATCCAAACACTACGAATGTTTCCCAGTGGAACATGATCATGCGTACAGAGGTAGACACAAACTTACACACATTCACCACCTTGGGAGCCTTACCAATTTTATGACTGTGTTGTCCAACACCTTCTGCCAAGCTGGTTGGGTAGTGTGGTAGAATCAACCCTAAATTTCCTGGGAGAATTTCCTATGTGGCTAATTAACCTCTGGGCAGTAAAGCACATGGCCATTTATAGAGCACTGTATCTGTTTATTCTCTCCTTCTTCCATATAAAAAATAAAAAGATTTCTAAATAAGGAAAAAAATTTTAAAAGAGGTTAGAGCTGGCTTTGCTCTCACTGGTGTGCACCTAACCTCAGACACAGAGGTGTGCGGAAAACCCTCCACATCTTCCTGGAGTGGTTTAAAACACTTTTATATTAGAACCAATCTATAACGTGTCTACTTTATGCATATATTCTATTAAATATAAGTAAACACCAAATCTTAATAAAAACTTGATGAATCATTTTGGTGATGTTCTTGGATCCCTAGGCCTACAGAGTTGGCTTGCCTCTGTTAGGGAATTAAAAAATAAAATTTCTAAGCAACAATAGAGTGGGAACCACTGCTTCTCAGGAGAAAGTTACGAGTAGATTAGCATTGTGAAACTCAATCCATGTACAAATGACTTTCCCTTTAGGCAGTTTTATCTCAGCCAACTGAAAAACACACTCTACATTTCAACACTGATTTGTCCACAGGAAAAATGTGGTTGGAATGCTGAACACATGTATCTGTTTTGGTACAAACTCCATTTGCTTTTCAGTTAAAAGATAGGCCATCTCTGCTTTCTTATGCTTAACTTATTCAAGACATGATAAGATCTTCATGTCTTCTCACTCAAGGTCTCCTTAATAAGTCCCTCAGAGCTCTTTGAGGTCACAGAATCTTGTGTACTTAGGATGTGGCAGGCCCTGTGCTAAGTGCTCCTGGGGAGGTCCAACAACTTGATGTCAGAACCAACCTCTCCCTCAAACCTCCCCATTATACTCTGAGGTGTTTAAAGTCATTTGTTGAACAAATGAATGATGTTCCAAAACCAGAAACAAAACAAAACCCTGCAGAAGTAGGTCCTCCTGACTTGAATCAACAAACACACACACACACACAGTTTCTTATTTCCTCCCTTCCCACCCTCACTCCCTTCCCCCACAAATTAACCCCCAACATACTTTAGGTCAAAACATTTAGATGGATTTTAAATGTCTGCCTTTAAGTTAGCTTTTGAATGATCATAGGTATTCTAGTTAAGCAAAGATATCAGGTTATTACCAAGAACTTGCAAGTTTTATGAAAACAGGGATTATCTTAAGACCCCGTGGAATGTATACTAATATCATTTTGCGAGTTGCTGCCTGCAAACAAAACAACCTCACAAAATCAAGGCATCCTAACAAAAGATTCAAATAATCCTTCTGTCTATGCACTTAAAACTCTAAAATTTGGATAGTCATAAAAGAAATTATAATCATTCTTCCTCCCTAGATCTGCTCTACAAGTACCAGGGTTTGTTTCCCTGCCCCCAACCCCATGGTGAGGAATTCTTTCTGTGTATAATACAGGAAAGGTTGCCAATTTGAAATAGTAACTAAGGTAAAAGTTAATCCAGCATCCCCAAATAATTACCTCTTAAATAACAATTTCAATTCTGATTCTAAAATACTGGCATAAATGTGAAATATTTTCATTCCATTTAAAGCATCACAATACCTAAAAAATCAGGGGAATGGGGAATAGTGAATTATTGATGTTGCAAAACTTGATGAGCGAGTTAGGTGTTAAAATTTTAATTTACTTATTTTGAATTCTATACTTGTTGGTTCCTTTACAAAGAGAATAATATAGTATCTATTACTTTAATGTGTTAACTGTGTGGTCAAAGGAGTTTTGCAGTGATTTTATTTGTATTTTATAGCCTGGCTAAGAAACAGGCCCAGGTAGAAATAATATCATTGTGCTTTATCAGTATTTACCCACTGAATATAAATAACTTAGACTTTTACTAACCAAAGAAGTAATGCATGCCCATTTTGAAGGAGGGGGAGTTATAAAGAAAATTAAAATAAATTATAATGCCAAAGTCCAGAGAAAATGAATAACATTTTGATTTCTGAACTTTTCTTAGGTAAATATATGCACAAAATTAAAAAAAAAAAATTTTCCCCCAAGTACTGGGGATTTAACTCAGGGATGCTCTACCACGCTACAGCCCAATCATTTTTTATTTCTTTAAAATTTGAGACAGGATCTCTGTAAGTTGCTCACAATGTCCTCAAACTTGTAATCTTTCTGCCTTAGTCTCTTGAGTAGCTGGCATTACAGATGTACTGCACCACACTCAGTTAATCCAGCTACTCAGGAGGCTGAGGATCACAAATTCAAGACCTATCTGGACAAAACAGGGCTAGGTATATAATTCAGTGGTCAGGTGTTCCTGGGATCAATTCCCATTACTGCAGGTGGGGAGGGGGGAGGAGTACTATATTTGCAATGCTATAACTTCCCTTTTTCATTAAATATATCACAGCTATTTCTTTATGTCAAGAAATAGCTTTTTATAGCTGTAAGCATGCAATTAATCACTTAGCAAATTTCTTATTAAACATTTAAGTTTCCAAATTTTCACTTAGAAAGATGAAAAATACCATGAAGTACTTAGATAAGCAAAATAATTCAAAATATTTGTAACACATGAAAAAGGGATAGCTTTCCTTTTTATATAAAAGAATTTTTAAAAATCAATAATTAAAAACAAGAAAATGAGCATTACAAAAAATTGTGTGTGTGTGTGTGTGTGTGTGTGTGTGTGTATATATATATATATATATATATATATATATATATATATATATAGTCAGCTTTCCACAAAAGAAAGATATGCAAATTAAAGTTAAAATGAAATGCCTTTTCATCCATAAGCATGGCTAAGATAAAGAATAGTTTCATAATATCTGTTTTGAGGATGATAAAAATAAAAAATGCTACAACCTTTATGAAAGGTGATTTGGTAGGATTTGCCAAAATTCAAAATGCAAATTCTCTTTTGACTCAGCAATTTCATATTAAGTAATTTCTTCTATAGATATATTCAATATATAAGAAAATATATCTGTACAGGGTTATTCACTAGATGTGGAAATACTAAAAGGCTGGAAGCAAATCAGATGTTCCTCAGTAGAGGGCTGGTTTTTGTGCCGCCTCTGATGAGTAAGAGCTGGTATTAATAAGAATGAGGTGCTCTGTAGGGACTGATACTGGACAGCCTTCAGCAACAATGGCTAACATCATCATCATGGTAACTCTGGGTAGGCACTGCTTGAAATGCTTTGTGTGATGTCTAGTAGACATTTTTAACTACCACTTTTAAGGAACTTGTTCAAGGTCAAAGTTAGGAGGAAGTGGTGGTGCTGGGATTCAGCCCAGGTGCTCTGGCTTCAAGTCTGTGTTCTACTAGTTCACTCCTAAGGTGGTATGGTATCATTGGGTAATAAAACAAGGTACAGATGAGGGTGCCATTGTATGTGAATTGCTCTCTAAAAAGAACCAAGAAACCAGCTACATCTGGGGAAGGCAAACAGGGGCCAGGTATAGCAGAAAGCTTTCATTTTTATTATTATTTTTCATTATATATATTTTAAATAATGATTGTAATTCTGCTACAGATACACTTGTATGTATACATTGGCATACTTATATACTTAAAAAATTGCCTTGCAGCTCTTGTAGTGGACAGAGTCCTGTCAGTTGCCTTTAATCCTTGATCATGAAACACCAGGATTCCAGGAAAAGGGACCCAGGTCTAGCCTTATGTACAGAAGAAGGGCATCCTCAGAGGTACAGCTACATGCCTATAGCACGGTGCCATGTCTGTCTGCAGACAAGTTCCTGTTCCTTAGGGGGATGTATTAATTTTACATCTCACAATTAAGTCCAAGAATGTGATAAACAAAACCTACTAGTACCAAGAAGTGCAGTTAGAAAACTCACTTATTTTATAGCTGAATCTCAAGGTTGTATGCATGTTCAATTGAGGGTTTTTTAGAAATAGCAACATAAAAAAATATTTACAAATCTAGATCTTGGATAAGAACTACACACCATTAAAATCAATCGTAATGGGAAATCCAAATGTATATTCTTTTAAAAATGGTATAATCTAGGTAGAAACAAGTAAACAATTAGTTTGGTAATTAGAACAATGCATAGAAATTATTTATTAAATTGCTCATATTCTTCTTGGGCTTTTGCATGTGACATACATGTGCATGCACATGTACACACACATTCTCTCCACCTGGACCTCCCCCCTTCCACCTAAACTTCCTAGAAGAAAGATAGGCAGAAAAGGTAAGCTTTATTGGCATTGTCCCATCAATATATAGTTAGAATCTCCCCAAACAGTCTACAAACAGATTCTGCAAATCCATCCTAACATATGCCTCCCACGTCTTTCCTCCAACTCGTCATCTTTTGGTCTTCCTAGCCTTTTTTTCCAAGCTAGAAGCCTGCTTACCAATTTCCTTGTGATTTCCTGGGACATTCCATTCCGAACCAAAGGCTTTCACACTGGTTTAAGAGGTTTTCTAATCAACCCTAGTCTGATGCTACAAATCCTTTAAGAACACTTTGCCATATGATGACCGTCAAATTTCCCCACCAACAGAACTCAGCCTTTCCATGTCAGCCTACTCTGTTTTATTCACAGTCTGTTAGAAAGTTCTGAAAGTGAACCAAATCCATCTCTCTGTAGCTTTCACCCATTGATCCAACTTGTCATCTAGTTGTAGTCATAAGTATTCTCTTCTGAGTGACTTACATTTCAGTCAGCAAAGAATGCTCAGAAGTGGGTTAACCACTTAACCACAGCAGATTTTCCATTCTGGAAAGGTACCATATTTCTATGGAAACAGCCCATCTTTTTGAAAGTCATGTCACAGGATTCACTCATACTGGTTTCACTATCCACAAAAACTCTTAGGTGATTAGACACTTAGTGCTCAGTCATCTTCTCCATCCCATAGCTGGGAGACTGGTTTCTAGACCATGAACCACACCTTGTATTCACCCCACACTAGCTAACACACTCTTTACTGTGACACATTCATCTAATATTTTAGATGCTGGTTATGTCAGCACATGCATGTCTCCTTCTCCAGCTTCGAGTCAAAAATAGGTCAGTTTATCTTCAGTATCTAAGTTCAATATAGGATTCATCTAAGTTGTTGTAAAAACTTGGTCAAAATCGTCTGCATCCTCCAAGGGCCAGAGTCAATCATCAGGACTTACCCAGTCACCCAAACAGCTGTCAATTTCTTTCCATGTATTCTGTACCCACATTAACCTGATGACCAAAAATGTTTTGTGTCTAATTTCTAACTTCTAGCCATCCTCTCATTTTTCTACCAGAGGGCGAGGGGAAATTGGGTCACAAATTTTAAACATTTACAAATGTGATGAATAATGAAAGATGTTGAAATATACTAAATACAGTGTTTAAATTTTAAAAATCAAGTTGGTCTAATTTATATAGACTACAGACTTGTCTACCTAGAAGTAGAAGGATTTCTTTTGAGTGTAGTATGAATTACTCTCTCCAATGCACCTTCTCAACAGCGTTATTCATTATGACACTGTTCGTGACTGTCATACACCATTGCCAAAGATGCTTCCTTTATAAGCAAATTACTCCAGATCAGCAGTCAGTCTTATCTATTGTCTCTGAACTGCTAATCAGAGAATGCACATAATCACATCACATGCAGTACAACTGAGGCCAGCCTGGGAGAATGAAATACCTAGAATAATGCTGCAGATGTTCTGAGCACTGAACTACCTAGAAGGCTCCATGGGTAGCAGAAAGAGTCTTGGAGATAAAAATCAGAAAATCTGACTTTGGCACTAAATTCCCACCATTCTGTAGCTCTGTGACCTTAGGAAACTATGTCACCTCTATAGATGTCTATATTTCCTCTGTGAAATAAAGTCAATATTACCTGCTTTATAGGGTAGAGAAGAGGATTAAATAAAATTAATGAGATGGCAAATGGGTTGGGACTATAGTAGGTATTCAATATATGTTGGATTCTGTCTTATTCATAGATACCGGGTCAATAATAATGTTCTGCTTAACCTCAAATGAGTAGGAGTAATTTGAGAAAAAGAATGAGTGTGTGTACTGTGTGAGATGTTACATGATATATGTTTGATAAAAGAAATCTAAACACCCATTTGAATTTACTAAATATTCATATTTTTGAAAGTTTATTGCCGATTTTTATTTTAATATATTTCTGTTTCAATTTGATTTTCAGGGATCTAATAAATATGGTTTTGGATAAATTTTTTTTAATACTTTGTTCTCAAAATGTACACTGGGGACCAGCAGCAGAGGATGTATCCCTAGGGAGCCTATTAGACATGCATGAAAATCTGCATTTTAACTGAAGTTGTAAGAGAATTGCTTTAACACATCCTAAGCTCTCTCAAGTTAACTTTTGTGTGTTTTGTGCTTTTCTATATACCTGGTACAGTATTTAAGATCTAGGCTTCTAAAATAAATAAATAAATAAATAAATAAATAAGTCTTGTATCATTTATTCTTTGAATGTAGAATCAGGAGAACAAAAAGAGAAAAATGAAACTCCTCACCCTTCCGTCAAGTTGGTCTCATTCAAAACAACAACAACAAAAACATTTTATTACTAAGGGAAGACAAAAGACAAAAACAAAATGTAGCTTTATTTTCTGAAATTTGAAGACAAAACGTAAGTACTAAAACTTTAGATAAACAGGAATTGTACAATTTTAAAGAATATAAACTTTCCAAGAGACTATATCTAAATCTACCTTTCTACTAACCCAGTCTTATGGAATGAGCGGTGGTAACTGGTAACTATTTTCCCTAGCATCTGAGTGAATTTGTTTTCAGAGAGATAACCAACTTTGCAGAAGTTTCCGTTGCCACCTTCTACTACCACTCAGATCTTTTAAAAAAATATATTTTTAAAGGGTCATAATTGAAAATACAAACAGGGATCATTACCACGGCTGATATACCACTATATTTCTTTCTTTCCCTCTTTCCCTTATTTCCTTCCTTTCTTCCTTCCTCCCTCTCCCTCTCTCTCTCTCTCTCTCTTTTCTTCTCCTCTAAACTGCCACTACAGATAACTTGAAAATTATTTGCTAGAATGACTCTACATGTTTTACTTACCAAACTTTTTGAGAGAAATTAGCTGGCCTTTTAATTAACTTCTTGTCTTCCATAATATAATTCTAATTAATAGCTAACAAATCAGGCTCACTTAAAGCACATGAATACTGGCATGATCTTTTTTTAACCCCATATATTAAGTAAAGACAGAGATGTGTTACAGTATACTTGATTAGTATAGGATCAAAATGAAAAGTATAGCAGGAAGAGGTAGATGAAATGGTTTTACCTGCTGGGTCCCTGATTGGTTCCCAGTGTAAGTCATTGTCTTTTTCCCTGATCCATCCACAAAGTCCATGGTCAAAACTACAACTGTGTATTAGAACACCTACAAGGAAATGACCAGAAGGATGGGTAGATCACAAACTCAATAAACAAATTAATCTAAAGACCAGGGTATCTGTATAACAAGCATTCTCCCCTATCAACATTTAACATCCCACCAGAATTTCTTTCCATGAGACTGAAAGGAAATTACAAGAATCCTTTCTCAGCACAATTGTGTACATGTGTTCAGCTGCAAAAATAGAACACACGAATGTTGCCAAATCATGACCTTGTTACATCGTCACTTATAAAATATGATTTCCTTCTTGCAATTCAAATACCACCTTAATATATTTTTAAAAAGGGACTGATGATTCATAAGTATTTTTGCTCAAATGGTTTGACAGATTTGTAAAACACACACATACACACATATACAAAAAAGATGTGTAATTTTCCCCAACAGGACTGAACAATCTATAATTTAAGTTGAAATGGAGGGAAAGAAGAACATGTCATCCTGGTGCCTACCTGGATCATCCTTTGCTTCATCATCTGCACTGATTCCTCTTTCTATTTCAAATATTTCAAACAAGTCATTTGAAGGCTGCCGTGGAACTGCAAGAGACAGGTTTTCAGCTTACTTTTTAAATAAGGTATTGATAATAAAGCATTGCCTTTAACAAGGGTAGGGAAAAGCCCTGGACATTTCATTCATCTGGAAGCATCCAAAATACTCAATGACTTTTCACATGAAGATTCATGAAGTTTATTCTGCAGTGATTTCTATTGTAGAAATAATTTATCATGTAAAAATAATTTTCAAAATTTTAAAAATCCAACATAAATATAAATTTTAAAACTTCATCAAGAAAAATACATTTTAAAAGAACTTTGAATTTCTGGCAAAATATCAATCTCTATTAAATTCTAAAATTCATCTCTATGAAAGATACATTATTATGAACTTTAAATTAACATTGTTGTAACTGATGAACCCTATATTTGCAGTGATTGGCTTCTACTCCCTTCCAGTGAAATCTGAACATTGTTACCTGTACCTATTATTGTGTCCTTCCTCACTTAAGCAGGTTCCCTGGCTCCTTTAAGATTCAGTCCAAACTTCCTAGTGCAGCATTTACAATCTACCCCACCCAAATACACAATACTGTCCAAACATGCCATTCATTTTCACGTCTCTGACCCCACGCTCTTGTTCTTGCTAATTAACTGCCATACTTCCCCTCCTTCAAGGCCCAGCGTAAATATCACTGCCTCTATAAAAACTTTCATGCCCCAGGCAAATTAAATTCTTCTCCCTTGTTCCCCAATAGTCCATATTTACACACTTCAATTTCACACTTTCATAAAGAACCGCAGGTATTTACACATATATGTGCCTTTCCCTCTGCTAGTCTCTGAGGTCCCCGAGGGCATCAATACATCTTATTCATTTGGCATTTCCAGGGCTTGACCTGGTGACAGGCACTCAATAAGTGTTTACTGAGTGAATGCAAAGATACCATCAGAAACCCATGTACTTTGTCAACACTCTTCTTCAAATGACACAGCCGGACAGAGCTTAAGAATCCACTTAAAAATTGATTCACTTAAATTATTTGTTTATTCATTCATTCAATGTGTATTTGATTCCTAACCAAATTCCAAGCACTGTGTAGGCACTAGGGTGACAGGGTGAGCAGAATGAACAAGACCAACAAGAATGTGGATGGCATGCAGCTTGAATTTTAATGGGAAGAAAATACATTAAACATGGAGATAAATGGACACTGTAATTCTAAATTTCATACAGGCTAGGAAGGAAAAATGCCAGAAGATGTCATGGAGAATAACTGGGTCGGGGAGCCACGGAATGTGTGAGAATGTTGGTGGTGGAGGAGAATTCTTGGCCACAGGCCAGGGATTACTCCCTTCTCTTTGCCAGAACTTCAATTAATTAGCTCTATTTTTATAAGGCAGGGAGTAAAAGACATAGAACACCATGAAACAGATGTCAGTCAAAAGGATCCTTTTTTCAAGGATGTTCCTATTATTCTTAGCAAGAATTTTAAATGGAAAATCCTATAATGTTTGCACTAATTGTTTTTAGCCTACTACTTCTGGATTTTTTTCCTTTTTGTTTCAAAAGTCACAATTCTGAAGTCCTTTCCCTTCTTACAACATGTACTCACATACACCTAGCTGGACAGGGATGGAAAAAGAGAGGATAGGACAGAAGACAGACAAGCTCCAGGGACATGTCTCCCTCTCTGATGCCCCAAATGACCGAGGGCAATGACACCCACTAAATCTTTTATTTCCTCATTTTGGGGCTCATTTTAGGATTTTTTTGAGAATTCCTCCCCCCACATGAAGAACTGTCCAATGTAGTCTCTACATAGATGCGGAGAGACACAAAGATGTCCTGATAGAGGGCCTGTTTTATCAAGGGAGATCCAGGAGTTCCTCTCTGGGGAAGCACCATTTAATCTGAGAGAGGAAGAATTTGAGTGGTCCATGCAAAAAGCACAGTGTTAGGGTCAGGGAAGAGGGAGGGTTCCAGGTAGTAGGTACAAAGAAAGTGCTCAAAACATTTAGAAAGAGGAGTTCAGGGTGGTAGGAAGATGCCCACAAATGGAGAAAGCACCATAGAATGAGGTTGAAAAAAGAAGGGATGATATCACATAGTAGGAAAAGAGCCACCCAAGGAATTGGTCATTAAACAACTTGCAAAGCATCAGATGGTTCCTTAACACTTTAGGCACTCGGGTTCCAAGAGCTACTTACTTCAGCATCGGACGATCATACATTGCACACGTTCGCTGCCATTCATTGGAACACACTCCAAGGAATTTAGAGACCTGATACACTCAGCAGCTATTAGTTCTTACAATTTTGTATGCTCCACTCTGTATCCCTGCCAAATCATTTAACTAATTCTCCTTCCTCACACTTACTAGTATCAATTACCATGAGCATCCCACGGAAAAGTCAAGAGAGGGTTCACTACCCTCTCCCTGGAATATAGGGAGTATTTGTGAAACTATTAAGTAAAATAAGCGGTGGAAAGATGATTCAGGTGGTATTAGCTTGTTAACACTGTACAAGAAACACAAAAGACTAGAAAAAAGAGAGATACTAGGCACACCACTGTGTCAACATGCTAACAGTGCTAGTCTAAGCATTGCAAATGAAAGGGATGTTTGTTCATTTGTTGATTTATTTTGTCTCATAAAAGTCTATAGTTTTAGATTATTTGTAAAAAGAAAAAAAATAAAATACATAAACAACTTTCCCAAAAGATTTAAAGAGAAGAGGGTTCTGCTGGAGCGTACCTACACAGCAACTACATGACTGTTACTCATATTTTGATTGCTCAAAGAGAACTTTGAATAGTTTTGATACCTGTTGTTGTATGTGAGGCTAACAACTGTGAGTTTCGAACATTTTTCTTTGATTCAAATAACTATTTTATTAATGCAAAAAATGTAAATTAAAATAAATGAGTAGACTTGCCTGAAAACAGAAGTCTAATGAGGTGGACATTGATTTACAATTTCTCTAATTTATTCTTCCCTGCTTCTTATTTTGACTAATATTTAATTTATAAGAACAATACACATATTTGATAAAAATGTATCTGATATTCTCTCTATAGTTGGACTATCAATTCTTATAATGGTATGACTAGATATTTAAAAAAGGATAAGAGAAATGCTAGCAACACAAGTTCTCTATCCATCTTCCCTCCCTCCATTTCATCTACTCTTTTTTTTTTTTTTTGGTACCCAGGATTGAACTCAGGGGTACGCGACCACTGAGTCACATCCCCAGCCCTATTTTATATTTTATGTAGAGACAGGGTCTCACTGAGTTGCTTAGTGCCTTGCTATTGCTGAGGCTGACTTTGAACTCACAATCCTCCTGTCTCATCCTCCTGAGCTACTGGGATTATAGGTGTGCAGCAGGGCGCTTGGCTCATCTACTCAGTTATGCAATCAGATAAGAAAATGAATTGGGTAGGAGGTGCCAGGCTAAAAGCTAGTTGTGAAGCAACAAACAGACTCTTGCCTTCATGGGATCTACGTTCTAGAGGTGAAGATGGACCTTCGACAATTTCCCTAGGTAATTCTTTAAAGAGAAGCAGAAGACACTTCACAAGTGTGGGGAGTGGAGGGCTGGCTTAGCTAGTCCAGGGAGGACAGATCTCATAAAAATCTTCTCTAAGAAGTGACGTTTACACTAAGACATGAAGGATGAGTTACTGTGAGCGTAGGTCCTGGAGAATGGAAAGGCAGAGCATCAGAGTAGATGCAGAGCTTACAGGCCTGGAAAGCAGGCTGTGGGAAGAGGGCACCACATGAAATCTGAGAGGCAGGCGACTCTGCAGGACCTTTTACAGCCTTGTTAATATTTTGGACTTTATTCTGGCAGAAACTGGAAGCCTCTGAAGTGTTGTAACAGAGGACTGGCAAGGTCAGGTTTGCATGTTAAAATCCTCATTTGGAAAGTAAACAGGGAGAAGGTGAGAATGGGTGTCACAGGGCATTCAACACTAAAATAACATAAGCTAAAGAATGTTCACATGCTTTTAACAATTTCCTAAACATTTTCCTGCCATTTGGTCAATGTTTTATTCACCAAAAAATATTCTCAACGGTTGCTTCTTACAAACTTCTGCATAACTAAAGGGAAGGGAACACACAGGTCCTGAAGCAAGCAGACAGCAGGACACAGGCTTGGTTGGACTGGGCTCAGGGGCACAGGACTTTTTCATAATGGTTGCAAAGCCCTGGGGCCAGTAGAAGGAAGTAACCACAAAAAGAAACATTACTTCCTGTCAGAAACTCTGTACAAGCAATTTCTTTTTTCTTTTTCCTGTAAATATCTTTTCCCCCCCTCCTTTCTGGTTGTATACAAAGTATATTCACATCCATTCGTGTCTTCATACATGTACTATGGAAAATGACGTCCATCACATTCCACCATCATTGCTAACCCCCTGCCCACTCCCTTCCCCTCCCACCCCTCTGCCCTATCTAGAGTTCATCTATTCCTCCCATGCTCCCCCTCCCTACCCCACTATGAATCAGCCTCCTTACAGCCGAGAGAACATTCAGCATTTGTTTTTTTGGGGATTGACTAATTTCACTTAGCATTATCTTCTCCAACTCCATCCATTTATCTGCAAATGCCATGATTTTATTCTCTTTTATTGCTGAGTAATATTCCATTGTATATATATGTCACATTTTTTTTAATCCGTTCATTTACTGAAGGGCATCTAGGTTGGTTCCACAGTTTTGCTATTGTGAATTGTGCAGTGTACAAGCAATTCTTATGAATTACATTTTTTCTGGGGATGTGATAATATTAATATATAACACATGTCCCTAAATGAGGTTTCTCAAATAGTCAACTGTATATTTTTACCCAGAAAACACTGAGAGTAAGTACACAGAAGTAAATGTAAATATTGTCGTATATACCATTTACTGCTAAACTGCTTACAAAGAGTCAATATAGCAAACTGTAAGCATTACTTATTGAAGGTAAGTTTGCAAATTCAGTTTCTATTCTAAGGTGGTTTGCAGGACATTACCCAGGCCAGTTCTGGC